TTCCTTTTGACTGCCGGCCAGCCATTTATTGGCGATGGCTCTTCCCTGGAGACTGGTGGAAGCAACAATTATAAAAGAGCCCGTCCGCCCTGAGCATGGGGCCGCACAAGGCTTTCTCCCCCGCCTCCCCCTTCCAGCTGCAAGGGAAGATTGGCTGAGCAGGGCTTGTTTGCAAATATGACTCATTTCTTTGATTCTAATAAAGTCTAATGATACATACTGAGCTCCCAGGGGGCCCTGGAGGAACCAGGGAGGAAGGCATGGCTCCAGCCTGATAGAGGGCATTTGGCCAGAGCTGGCCCCGCCTGTCTTCCAGGGCTGGGGATGGAGCAGGACCCTCGGGACAGAGGTGATCCCAGAGCAGGATGAGCAGGACAAAGCTGACCAGAGGCAGGAGCTCTGCTTCCCCGTTGCAGAGCGACTCAGGTTTAAATGATAAAACCAGCGTATAATGATTGTCTCAAGGGCCCAGGTGGCTTTCACGGGGATCTGATAAAGGGCATTTAACCAGCTCCTGCTGAGAACAGCACTTTAGTGTTGCAGACGGGGTGGGCATGGGGGACCCAGGCCAAGAGATGACCCCACGCATAACCTGAGAGTGGGGTCACCCACGCATGGCACAATGTGGCCTGTGACCATGGATTTGCCCTGGACTTACAGCTGGTGGGGACACAGACACTGGAGGTGATGTCCGAGGTCTGAGGTCGGGGCTGGGGACTCGGCTGTCTTGCTGCCGATGTAACCTTGGGCCAGTCACTTCACCGCTTTGGTCATCAGTGTCCTACCTCATTACCCATGCCCAGAGGCCCTGTCTTAGCCCTTTAACACTCAAGCCAGGCTGTGAGGTGTTGGGACCACGCTATCTCCAAGTTCTGGAGAGGCAAAGTGACTGCACTGTGGTCATGCAGCTGGGACATGTGGGAGACAGAGTCAGCCTCCCCGCTCTAAAGAACGGTAGCATCACCCACTGCTCTCTACGATATCCTCTCGTAAAACTGGTGCAGGGCAGCGATGATCAACAAGGTCCTTCCCTGTCCAGGCCCAGGTGGAAGTCTCAGCTCCCATGGTGCCTCATCTCGACTCCCAGGGCACTTCTGAGCACCCATCAGCATCATTTGCAGAAGGAAAGGACAGCTCAGGGAACCTATATATCTGGTACAGGTAAGAAAAGTGAAGGGAAACAATGGCTGGGATTGGGCTTTAGCTCAAGGGAAATGGACACCAGCCTTTGAGAGATCCTCACTGCTCTGCAGCCCAACAGGGCACCAGCCAGTGATACCTCAATAATATCTCAGCGAGCACTTCTCGATGAAAACCCCGGAGCGAGTCACTGCAGAGCTGGTTGCTATTTTCAGGGGAAATCATATAAGCTAAGTTTTACTCCAAAGAGAACCCAGATTCACTGAGGGCTGAACCCTCTGAGTCCCTGTATACAGTTGGTGCTTAATACAGGTCCCAGCCTTTCTCCCACCAGTGTGTTCCTTAAGCAATGTCCAGAAAACACAGATTCTTTCAATCATATTATCCCCTTTCTCATATACCTTTCATGGTTCCCCCGCCTAGAGAACCAAGCTCACACAGTCTAATATTCGAGCCCTCAGTCCTTCTCCCTGGTCCCATGTATCCTATGCTCTGGCCAAACCAATGACTTGCTGTTCCCAAACACTTGTGTGCTTTTAGGATGCACGGGATGTTCCTTTGACCCACAGTGTCTTTTCTTTCTCCTTTCAGCCTAGTGGGCTCCTACTCATCTCTCAAAGTCAAGCTCACACAGCCCCTCCATTTCCAGATGGGAGAAACAAGGCCAGAGAGGTGTAGTGACTTGCTGCTCCATGCTACACAGCCAAGTGGATACAGACATGCATTAATAAGAAGAATCAGCACTCAGTGAGCACTTACTGTGTTGAAACACTTAATATCCTCTTTGCTATGTGAGATCACAGCATGGGAAAAGCCATGAGGATTCTGAGTTGAGAAATGACATATTTGGATTCACAATTGATTGCAGAGATGCAAGGGTAAGGCGGGGGAGAGCAGTGAGAGGTCTGGGAGAGTGATGATGGGGGTCCCAAGGAGGCGGGGAAGGGGGACTGCAGGGTAAGTGGGGAGGGTAGTCAGACTCTGGATATACTTTAAAGGGAGAGCCAAGAGGACCTGTGAACTGAATGTGGGATTTGAGGTAGAAAGGAGTTTGGGATGATGCCTAGATATTTTCCCTAGGGGCTCTGCAAAAATGACATGAAAGGCCCTACCACAAAGCTCATGAGTCAGTCATTCCATGTTAGTTTTCTTGGTTTCCCCTCTTTCATGCCCAAGAGAAGGGAAAGCTCTTGAAGGCAGGCGGTTAGACCTTTCTCGTCCACGGTGCCTGGCTCAGGGCTGCACTGAGCTGAAGCCCCTGGCCCTGCTCATTGGCTTTCGCCTGTCTGTTCACACGGGCAGCAGGCCTGGTCCTTTTGCCTAAGCCTGCTTTCCATTCTCCTCCTCTACGGACCCCAGTCCTCCACCGGGTTCTAGAAAGAGGGCAAGTTATTTGTGGATGTTCAGATGGGACTCACAGAGCTTTGCTAGAGCCCAGGAGGAGGGCTTGCGAAGGCTGGAGCGGGAAGTGAGCATCAGGCAGGCGGCCAGCACTCTCTGGACTGAGCAAGTCCATCTGGATCATGTGGGGCTTGGGAAGGTGCCTGCAGAACCAGGAAATTTTCAACGATAAACACTGTCTTAATGTCTTCCGGGCCAGGAAAGGGAGGTGAGGCGCTCAGAATGGATATTCTGAAAGGCAGGAGACCTAGAATCCCCCAGTAGGGCCCAGTCTCAGGGAGAAGCAGGGGGTGAGGATTGGACACCCTGAGGACTTCATCGCTCACATGAGCTCCTTCTCACGAACCCTCAGGCCGAAGACGGCAGGGAGACAAGCAAAGATGACGGCCCTTTTGCAAAAGGGGGGACCATATGCGCATTTGGGAGGGGACCATTCTTAGTCCATCTGAAGGCCAAATGCTGCTAGGGAGCAGTTTTACCCACTATGAGGACACTAAATAATAATGGCCCATATTTATTATGCAGGTTCTCAGGGCTGGCCATGCATAATCTCCTTAAGTTAGGGCGGCCCTACAACCTGGGAGGGCAGTACTATGATCTCTCCAGGTACAGGTGAGAACACTGAGGCCCAGAGAAGTAAAGGCACCTGCCCAGGCTAGAAGTGGCAGAGTGAGGGTTCAAACCCAGGCAATCAATCCGTGCCCAAGGCAATGAGGCCTCAGCAGGCGCCCGAGTGGCTGGTTGAGTGCCAGTGTCCTGGGTGTGGCAGGCCCTGGGTGATCAGGCTGTGCCAGGAACAGAGAGCAGACAGGGCTGTGGTCTCGGGCCCCATTCAAGTGAGAAGAATAAGTGCCTGCCTATCATTGTCTGTAAACATAGCTTTCCACAGGGTGGGGAGCTGAGGGAGTGATGAATGTGCTTGTAATGCCCTCTTTGTCTGCAAATGGAAAATATGTACACATATAGAGCCCCGGCCCCAGTCCAAGTAGCCCCAGGGACCCAGGAGCATATACCGAAAGGCCCACATGTCATGACAGGGACATGCACCACTGGAGTGAGGGCTGACCGACCTTGCCTATGATTTCCCAGCTCCAGCCCCAAACAAAGCATGGCTGGGACCAACCAGCAGGCAACTCCCTCATCGGTGAGACTGTTCCTGGGCCAGGTTCTAAGAGCTGGGGAGACACCCTGGAAACAGTGAAGCCACACACAGAAGAGAGGGAATATCTCATGATAATTAGGGGCTATCCCACCTCCTTAACAGCATTCCCCACCCCTGGCTCTCAAGCTCCATGCAAGGTCTTATCTCAGTTATTTCCAGATCAGGGGGTGCTGCACCCAAGTGCTGAGCACCATATCTAATAGCTCATAAAGAATAAGGAAAGCAATGCATGCATATATTTTTGATTGGCCTCCAAGCACTGTGTTAGGACTTCCCCGTATAGTAGCTAAGAGATACCCAAACTTCAAGCCCCTCCACATTCTGCCTTTCTGATGTCTGTCCTGTGTGTATACTCCTGTTTATATTGTGGTCAACTGTAAAAATGTCCATAATTCTCCACTCCTTTCATAAAGAGACAGAACCTATTTCCCCACCTCTTAAATCTGGGTTAGTCTTGTGACTTTCTTTGGCCAAGGGGACATTAATAGAAATGATGCAAGCAGAGGCTTGAAAAGTGCTCCTGCATTGGAACTTTCCCGTTTGTTTTTCTGGAATGCCAAGCTGCCTGTGAATAAGCCCAGACTAGCCAATATGGACCCTGGCACTCCACCCAATAGCCAACTAATCCCCAGAAGAGATACCCTGATGCCCTATAGCTAACCTACCCATGAGGGAGCCCAGCAAAGACCAGAAAAACTGCCCAGCCAAGTTCAGCCCAAGCTGCCAGTCAGCAGAACCTTCAACCAAAGAAACAGTTGCTGTTTAAAGCCACTAAGTTTGGGGATGGTTGTTATACAGCAAAAGCTGACCGCCATATAATTTTCATTCTATGTACTCACCTTGTCACTTGAGTAACTACTTCAGCTTCATATATGCATTTTTCTCTGTGCAATAAGGTTTGATATACTAACTATATTTCTTCTAAAATACATTATGGAAACTGTATCACTTTCAGACAGTATGAGTACATATACCTGCCTTTGGGAAACAATCCTATGGGTGTAGGAATGATTCAGTCCCCTCATTTGACAGTTAAAGAAACTGAGGCTCAGAAAGAGGCAGAGACTTGCCAAAGGTCAAACAGCCCGTAAAATGGCAGAACTGGGATTTGATTCCATGCCTGTCTAAGACCAAAGGCATGGATTTATCTCCTAAGGCGTGCACACCTTCCCCCCACCAACCCTAACTCCATCCCAAGATAGTGACTCCCACATGCCTGGGGGGACGATGAGGAAGTGGGCGGTCCTCCCTGCCCCCACCCAGACCCTCCCTCCTTCCTTAGTGAGGGCAGCCTTACTCCCAGAACTCGGTGACAGGGGACGTGAAGTTGCTGGTGTTGAGGCTCATCCACAGGCTCTTGTTCTTGCGCATAGTGTCCTCCATACAATGGTGTGTGTTCCAGGTGTGGTTGCAGTGTGCCCAGGGTAGCTCCGACTGAAAGGACTGGAACAGGTAGTATGTGGCCCAGGCCAGGATGATGATGTAGTACACGTTCAAGAGGGAAACAATCACGATGGAGGCATAGCCGATGCCTGCAGGGGTGCACAGGGAAGATAAGCATCAGGAAGGAGGCCAGGCCCACCATGTCCACACACTCACATGGAAGGCTGCGGCATCCCCAGGCCTGGGGCCAGAACAGGCCCTTCAACAGCGACCAGCACAGATTTGTAGGATGAATGGAGGCCTGGATACGTGGGTAGGTGAAAGAATGGATGGTTAGATAAATGGGATGCCTGGATGAATCGAAGAATGCATGGAGGGGAATAGATCAATGAATGGATGGACAGATGGATGGTTAGATGGACCGACAGATAGCTGAATGGGTAAATGTTGAATTGATGAATGGACATTCGATGTGTTGGATGGATGGATGGCTTGTGATTGGTTGGAAGGTTAGGTAGACGAATGGATGGGGAGTCTAACTATATTGACTAGTTTAATGAAGAGAGGTTTGATGAATAGATGGATGGATGGATTTAGATGGATAACAATATACAGACACACAACCTCCCATCCTTGCCAATAATCATCATAACAGTATTATCTCATAATGCATATTAGGTACGAGGCATAGAAGACTTAATGTTATAATAATAATAAAGCTCCCATTAATATGGGGCTTACTATGTGTACAAAGCACTTTCACAGGTCATTTTATCCTCATAGTAACACTATGAAGTAAGCATATTATTTCCGTTTTATAGATGAGGAAATTGAGGCACTAAGAGATTGAATGAATTCCCCAAAGTCACAAGAGTTAGCAAGAGGAGGAAGAGGGACTCAAATCCAGACAGAAAGCCTCCTGACTCTCAGTGCTTATCTTCTGCACGATACTGCTAAGCAGCTGCTAGCTCCTCTGTCCTTCAACAACCCAGAGAGGTGGGAACAGCTGGGACGTATTGAGCAGTTACTGGGAGCAGCAGCAGCATACGTCTCATGTACTGGCTGCTACCTTTTGTCAGGCACAGTGCCAAGTGACTTGCATGAGGCTTCAATGTACCTGGCAAACAGCAGGTACTCAATAAAAATGTGCTGAACCGATGAATACCAGACCCCGGGTGACCTTTGTCCCATACTCACCGGAGAACAAGGGGCAGATCTTTTCCCAGCAGGTGATGCCCCCTTCAGAGGTGTACTGGCCTATGATTACCTCCAGGAAAAACACAGGCAGGCCGCCCCCAAACAGGAAAATAAAATATGGTATGAGAAATGCACCTGCGGAGAGAGCAGAGTGGGGTGAGGGTCAGGCTGTGGCTGTCACAGGGGCTCACTCCCAAGCCCTCCCAACCAATGGAATCAAAGAGAATGAGTGAGGGACGTGAGGGGTAAAGGCCAAATTCTTGGACCTGGTTGAAAAGTCTCCAGGCCCTGCCTACCTGGTTCAACTAGCATCTCCTTTCCAGTGTGCCCTCTCACCTTCCTCAAATCTACCAAGTGCTTTCGGCCTCTGAGCCTTTGGTTAAGCTATGCCAACTGCCTGCCTGCCTTCCCCACATCATCCATCTGAATAAGGACTGCCCAGCCCTTAAGACCCATCTCAAATATGACCTCCTTGTTGAAGCCTTTATCTATCTGTCTCCAGGCCTTCCCAAGGCAGGACGCTGGGAAGAACTTGCTAGGAAGGGTACAGTGATCAGAAGCAAAGGGGGTGGGGGGCGCCTCTAGCTGGGAGTGGGAGCCAGGGGAGGAGTGAGGGGCAGAGAGTCAGGATGAGAGTTCCTACCTGGTATACACTAATGGCATCAGCGGGTCCATAAACCCTTTGAAATTGTGGGCAACTTGAGTCTATGTGTATGTGCTTTTCTCTGGGGAGCGTCTAGGACACTCATCAGAGTCCCAAAGGCGCCTGAGACCTACAAAAAGTTAAGAAACCAGGCTCTAAGGCAGAATTTCCCAAAGGTGTTTCTCCTACCATGGGCAGTACGTGGCACGCCTATCTCTGCTGATCTTAGCCTTCAGCAGGCTAAAAAAAAAAACAAAACCAAAACCAAAAACCAAAAAACCCAAACCAACCAGAGACCTTACATTTAAAAAAATATCTTCAATGGGTGATGGTGGTCCAAAATACAAACTTCCAAGTTATAAAATAAATAAGTTCTGAGGACAGAATATACTACATGGTATCTATAGTTAATAATACTTTATTATATTTGAAAGAGGGGAATTTTAAAAGTTCTCATGACAAGACAAAAAAATGTGTAACTGTGAGGTGATATATTAACCAAACTTACTGGGGTAACCATTTAGCATTATGCTGCACACCTGAAACAAATACAAGGTTGTATGTCAATTACACCTCAATTAAAACTAGAAAAGTATTTTAATTAAAAAAAATAAAAATAAGGGCCTGCCAAGTGGTGTGTTGGTTAAGAGTTGGCTTGGGACACCAGCTCTGAACAACAGGCCCCAGGTTCGGATCCCACGAGGGCCAGTGACTATGCACCCTCTACAGCTAAGATGGTGAACAGCAGCTCGACCTGGAGCTGGGCTGCCGTGAGTCACCGGTGACGGCATAGGCTACATTGGGGCTGGCTGGCAGCTGGTGTGCGCTTTTGTGAGCAGCCGTGAGTAGCCGTCCAATGGCTGGCTACCGATCTGCCTCACCCGGGAAAAGCGCAATAAAAATACCAACATGGGCCAGTGAAGCAACGTCCCCTACAACTAGACTGAAGAACAAAAGGACAGCAACTTGTCTGTTCCCCTTCCCCGATTCCCCAACGCTGTTCCCCTCCCCCAATTCCCCAATAAAA